TTCTTTATGGATCATAGACATCATATCATCAGCTGATAACTGTGGTTTTAATATATTTTTATTCATAGTAGTTTTATTTAACTTATCTTTTGTATTATTGTGTATTGTAGTGGATTTTCTTGTAAGAGTATTACTAAATGTTTATTATTTGTGTGAAGCTTGTATTTTGTCTCATTCCTTTTGCAATCTGATAACTCCAACTTGAAGGGAAATACATTTCCAAACCCAAGGTTTGAGAATCTCCAGTTGTTAGTAGGCCTAACGTCTATGCTCTTCTGGTTATTCTAGGGCTACAACACTAATAATTGAACACAAATATTATTAACAATTATAATAGCCAATGAGATTAAAGAATCTAATCATACAGTAAAATGGAGTAGTTCATTACTCCCAATAACTGCGTGTATTAGAAACTTCAAGAAATTTAAATTAAGAAAGTAATTTTTAAAGTTGGTGAAACAGAATCATAGTTTGAAGACTATACTTGTTAATACAAAATCATAGGGAATGTAAAATGAGCTGGTCCAAGTAAATCATGAATATAAGTTAGAGTATTATTACTTCACATCCATTGCTGCTAATTGATCAAACATTCACCATATTCTTAGAAGTAACAACAACAAAAAGTAGACCAGCTAGATTGAATGTTTTTCCTATAGTTTTTAATAAATAAAATTAAATTAAAAAATTCTTTATACAGACTATTAAATAAACTAAAAATTGCTACATATGTGACTTAAAATACTGTTTCAAAAACAACTGGAGTGAACAATGTTGGGAGCTGTTAATCAAAATAGCAGCTTAAAAAGTATGGAGAACTCCTTCAGGGGTGTAGGGATAAGTAAATAAATGGTGGCCCTTACGAGAGTGTTCCTTCAAGCTAGATATAGGAACAGGCTGCTTTGCAGGATTCAAGTCCTAAATGAAATATTATTGAGAATATGCTTAGAGTAACAGATATAACTTGAAGAATAAGGTTGAATTACATGCTAAATATGGGCTCAACTTAAATAAGCTTGGTAGCAAGAACTCCGAAAGAAAATCATTAAACACCAAAAAAATAAATTTATTATACAGTATTCTGTTGCTGCTAACAAATAAGTAGATACAATAATCATATCAAATTAGGTAATTATCTGTATATAAAGTACTAGTTAGGCCTCACCTAAGAAAAGATATTGACTTATTGGAGCGGGCTACTAGGATGATTCCAGGGATGGAAAGGTTATCTTATGGCGATACGTTTCAGATCTCTTGATTTAACTATTTTCTCTCAAGAAAAGAAGGAAAAGAGATGATCTTAGTGAAGTTTAAAAGACATACAGGGTATCAACATGATAAAGGTCTCTTAATTTTTATGTTGTATGTATTTTGAATGTAACAGTACGAGAGGCCCCAAGTTTAATATTTGAAAAAGACAGACTAGACTCCAGTTAAGACCCTTTATTTTTTTAACATGGGGATTTGTATATGGAATATTTTACTGATGAGCAGTGGCTGTCATTTTATATTTTAGAAGAGTTTTAAAAGAGAATCAATAATTTCTTGAAAAATATAAGGTGGGTTTAAGTTTCTGCTTTTCTCAAAGGTGGGTGTGAAAGAATAACCAAATGGTCCCTTGTTGTCATGTTCTTTTAAAATCAGACATTAGTATGAATCAAGAATAATAGCCACCTCATGGTCAGTCTTTAATTCTTTTTTTTCTTGAACAAATTGGTTTTGTAAGTTCACAATTTCTTCTTGCTTTCTGTCATGCAGTTCTTTCAGTTTTTCCTGTTGCTCTTTCTTTATCCAGCTAATCTCCTGAACCAATTGCTCTTTTTCTTCTTGCAAAGAGCAGTGGAGTCTCCTTCTAAGCTGTTGATACGTGGCCTCTTCTCGCTCTAGCTGTCTTTCAAATCTGTCAGGTAAAACAGATTAGTGTGTATCATTGTTGGTCTATTTTAAAACAAAGTGTAATTAATAGTTTAAATATATGAAGAAGAGGATTCTTGGATTTTATACTTTATAATTCAGATATTTCTGATAAAATCAGCTCTACTCAAAAATTGATAAACTCATACTATTCTGTTCGACAAGAGAAGAGGCTGGTAATTTAATTTACTGCTTAAAAAAAGGTTTTATACTTTACATACAAAAATATGGATTTAAAACTATTTTAACAATTAACTAAGTCAACAGAGTTGAAAAGCAGATACTAAATGTTATAATTTACTAAAGAAGTCATGTCTAATACACAGAACGATTTATTCTACAATTTATATGAGTAAAGATTTTTAGAATTAATCAGTTGTTATTAAACATATAAATCAGAACACAAAAGCCTAATTGAGATATTGTGATAACACTTATAGTGATTTTTGTAATTTTCAATACATTTATTCTTACAGATATATGGGTACATGCTTTAAAAAGAAAACTGAAGCCGAAATGGAAGTTGTTTTTTGTTAGAATAATCTCTTAATAAACTGAATATTCAGGTTTTCATTTATATTCACAAATTTGATTAACTTTGAACAAGAATTTGATTATATTCTCTCAACTGAATATTCTACAATGATGAATCATTGATCAAGTATTTTTATGGACACCTTTCTCGTGCTAGCTCCCTTTCTCGTTCGCAAGCGTCATCTTTCTCTCTACTTAGTTGCTCCCGAAGTTGGTCCATTTTCTGTTTATAGTAATTTGCGATTTTCTCTTCCACCTGGACTAACTCTGTCTGGTGGACTTCTTTCAGCTGCTCTAGTTCTTGATGATGAGATTTCATAAGTTGTTTGATCTCTGGTTCAAGCCCTTTAACTGTCATTTCCTTGAGGTATGACAATAAAATAACCACTTTGTCTTTATCTATACATGTTGTGATAGTAGCTAATAAACTACACCAGAGAAAATTATTTTTAATCTCCTGACAGTATAAAGGGAGAAAAACATCATCTTGAAATAAGTAAATAGAAATAACTGGAAAACAGAATCTTGGTATATAAGCAACAAGCTCTATACATCTTTACATGAATGGTATACATATTGTGTCAAATTCTTTTTAAAATAAAGAATCTATAAAACTATTTTTATGGAACAGAAACATGTTATACCACTACTTGTTGGTATGCATTATAAAATGATACATTTGAGGCCTTGTAATACATCAAAACACTTCACATTATCCACCGTCAGAATATTCTGTTACCATTAAAGCTACTCTTCACGTGTGACTCCTTCAGTACTTGACTGAAAATTCATCACAATGAACAGCAAAAGATCACAGTTATTTAGAAATCCATGATAATACCTAGGTGATTCATTGTTGCCAGCTTAATTTCCATTAAAGTTAATTAAAAATCAGTTAACTTCTTGCTCTTTGCCTTACCTTCTTCCAAAACAATTTCAAGACATGTGGCAGTGACTTCAATATGTAAAACATAGAGAGCTTATGATTTCCATAAGCAACATATTCTTTTACTTTTATAACATGTGGCAGTGACTTCAATATGTAAAACACAGAGAGCTTATGATTTCCATAAGCAACATATTCTTTTACTTTTATAACATGTGGCAGTGACTTCAATATGTAAAACACAGAGAGCTTATGATTTCCATAAGCAACAGATTCTTTTACTTTATAACATGTGGCAGTGACTTCAATATGTAAAACACAGAGAGCTTATGATTTCCATAAGCAACATATTCTTTTACTTTTATAACATGTGGCAGTGACTTCAATATGTAAAACATAGAGAGCTTATGATTTCCATAAGCAACATATTCTTTTACTTTTATAACATGTGGCAGTGACTTCAATATGTAAAACATAGAGAGCTTATGATTTCCATAAGCAACATATTCTTTACTTTTATAACATGTGGCAGTGACTTCAATATGTAAAACATAGAGAGCTTATGATTTCCATAAGCAACATATTCTTTTACTTTTACGACATGTGGCACTCTTTCATTTTGAATTATTTTTTAAACAATCTTTTTTTAATCTATACTAAGTACAAGTATACTTGTAACATGTAACAGGTCAGTAGTCATAAACAGAAGCTGGTCCAATGTGAAGATTTTGTATATATAACACTAAAAAAATAAATGAAAATAGCACTGCTCCTCTAGTAGTGAACTATTGCAAAAGTCTATTAATACATACTTAACTACAAATCATATATAAACAGCAACAATACACTTCCGTTTCTACCTTTATTCTCTTCTTCTGATTGCTGATCCATTTCTCCCTGTAGATCTTCTCACTAGCTGTGGCTAGTTCTTTGGTTTTCTGCAGATCAATAGCATGTCTTATGCCATAGATTAAAATACATATTAGTGACAAAGTATACATCAATTAAGAGAAAAACAGTACATAATTTGTTCAGTACTTTTAAACAGACAACTTATATTGTAATATCATCTACTTAGTAAAAGCTGCTTATAATCTAATCAGTGAAGACTGGTTATCGTCTAGTAAGTAAAGGCTGGTTATATTCTACTTAGTAAAAGCTGGTTACCATCTAGTCAGTAAAGACTGGTTATCTTCTACTTAGTAAAAGTTGGTTATCATCTACTTAGTGAAGACTGGTTATCGTCTAGTAAGTAAAGGCTGGTTATCATCTAGTAAGTAAAGGCTGGTTATCATCTACTTAGTAAAAGCTGGTTATCATCTAGTCAGTAAAGACTGGTTATCGTCTAGTAAGTAAAAGCTGGTTATCATCTAGTCAGTAAAGACTGGTTATCATCTAGTCAGTAAAGACTGGTTATCATCTACTTAGTAAAAGCTGGTTATCATCTAGTCAGTAAAGACTGGTTATCTTCTACTTAGTAAAAGCTGGTTACCATCTAGTCAGTAAAGACTAATTATTGTCTAGTCAGTAAAAGCTGGTTACCATCTAGTCAGTAATAACTGGTTATCATTTTCTTAGTAGAAGCTGGTTATTATTTACTCAGTAAAGCGTGGTTATAGTTTAGTCAATAAAGGCTGGTTTTTGTCTACTTAGTATAAGCTGGTTACCATTTAGTCGGTAAAAGCTGGTTACTATCTAGTTAATAAAGGCTGGTTATGGTCTACTCAGTAAAGTGTGGTTATCGTCTACTCAGTAAAGTGTGGTTATCGTCTACTCAGTAAAGCATGGTTATCATCTAGTCAGTAAAGACTGGTTATTATGTACTCAGTAAGGTGTGGTTATTGTTTCTTCAGTAAAGCTTGATTATCATATACACAAAGTGAAGCCTGTTGATCATCTTTCAGTAAAATATAGTTATCATCTAATAAGTAAAGCATAGTTTTTATTTACTCAATAAAGCCTAGTTATTGTTTACTCAGTAAATCTTGGGTATTGTCCAAACATTAAATATTTGCATCGTCCACATTATGATCCTCAAGTTATAGATATGTAGGAAAATTTTCAGAGAAGTAAAAATTTATATAATTCATTTTGGTTAAGAGCAGAAATGTTCTTCATAAACTTGGTATATTTGTCACAGGTGTGTTTCAAAGTATCTTAAAATTCCGAGCTGTTTTAGATAGCACATTCAATACTACTGTCCTACAAATGCATGGATATTAAAAGAAGCAAGAAAAATGTGTTTTTCTACCTTTCATTTTGAGCTTTAATCTTGGCAGCATATTTGCTTTCGCTACTCTTCAAAGCCAGTAATACTTCCTCGTACTTTTCTGTCAATTCTTTCTTATCTTTAATCAACTACAAAAAAAGAAGCATTGGGAAATCTCATTCACAAGTAAACCTAGAATGCCTACAAGATTCCATTCCTTTCTTGAAGAGAAATAAGTCTATCTGTTGCAGGACTGTTTCTAATTGGGTAAGGAAATAGCCATAACGGACAATAATATGAAATCTAAAGCTCATATAGAAAATTAAAATTCTAATGTTTAGACAAAACATTAATCATGATGATGATGAGTTGTATTGATACTTTGGTAAATAATGTAGGTAAACAGTTGATTTTAAGTTTCAATACTTCTCAACTAACTCTAAAAGAAACATTGCAGTGCCTGACTTATAAAATCTCACAAATAATTCTCAAGAAACGTTTAATATGCAACCAGTAACTTTCATAAATAACTCTCAATAAATGTGCAACATACAAGCACAAAACTCACAAATAACTCTCAATAAATGTGTAATATACAAGCACAAAACACATAAATAACTCATAATAAATGTGCAATATACAAGCACAAAACTCACAAATAACTCTCAATAAATGTGCAACATGCAAGCACAAAACTCACAAATAACTCTCAATAAATGTGTAATATACAAGCACAAAACTCACAAATAACTCTCAATAAATGTGTAATATACAAGCACAAAACTCACAAATAACTCTCAATAAATGTGCAATATACAAGCACAAAACTCACAAATAACTCTCAATAAATGTGTAATATACAAGCACAAAACTCACAAATAACTCTCAATAAATGTGTAATATCCATAAATGAACTTTTATAAATTATTTGAAACAAATGTGCATTATCTTATAGTATCAGTTTCTCACTAGAAGGAAAAAAGGAGAATCTGAGAGTAAAGATATTACAATTATAATTTTCATTGACTCTGGATACTCTGATATATAATATAAAACACTGTCTTGTATTCGTTATCATAGCATTTGTTGACTCCCCAACTTTATACAGCTTTTATCTAAAACTAACCCTGGAAAACCTACAGCACCACTAGTACATAAACTTGACAAAAACTTTTCATAGAGTGGACAAGACATACCTGATCTATGAATGTTTGATGCCTCTGTACTGTAGCATTATAGTGTTGCTTCTGGAAGTCTAGTTTCTGTTTTGTCTCAGTTTCTAGGTCTTTCGATTGTCGTTTCAGGATATCTTTCTGGTGAGCCTTTAAAGCACATAAATACGTTTTACCACATTTGTTTAAAACATATCTCACTGATAGGTTTGATTGACAGAAACAACGTATGCCGCATACTAACCAACTGGTTTAGAAATCTATTAAAATTTACTGAAAGTTACAGGCAACAAAACACTAGGTAAAAAGTATCCAACTTAGCAACTAGTCAGAGTGTGCTCACAGGTAGAACCAAAGAAACTAAAACACCATGTACAAAGCAGTTAATTTGTAGAGAGATCAGAATTTACTCAGAGGTTAGAGTCAAAGAAACTAAATGTATTTCTGATAGGTACTGATCTCCTTTCACTCAAAACTATCTCAATCTTCTTTCTACCCGCTAAGCATTGCTAAAAAGTTTTTTCACTGAGCACACCAGACTATATACCCCATCAATATTGTGCCCTTTTTGAGCATGTACTTATCACATGACTACTCTCCACCAAGGAGGTAAGTAACTATCAGAAATACATTTTCAGTGTAAGAAAAATGTTAACTTCTGATACAGTCTTACCTTCTCTCAACATGAAGCTAAAGTCACACATTGCAAAGGTGGAGGGGCTGGTTTAGGTACACAACATTGAAACCAAGCAGAAAGCAATTGCTCGAAATGAACAGGTGTGCTCCGATACGAAAAGGAAGCACACCTGTAGGGTACTGCACTACATCTGGAACAGGTATATTCTTTGCTCTTGAAGTAGGAAATTAATATGATATGGGCGAAAAAAAGGACTGCACCAGTGTAATTTGTTCTGAGAGGTGCAATCTATAGTAAAATATATACAGAATTAGGTATGTGCATACACAGCCTCAACCGGACAGACACGGTTCCATAACTCATCCTTGGCATTAGGAGGTTGAGGCTCAGAAAAGATAAAACCAAATATATTGTAACATAAACATTGTGGTTAGGGCATGTGGACCATGTTACACATACTCATCAACCCAACCATAAGTAAACAGAGTGTCATATGTCAACCAACTGGAATTATGAAGAAGAAGTTAGTTTTTAACCAAAACTGGACAAACTCCCAAAACTACTTTTGGTACAAGAAGTACAACAAATCAAACCCAGCATTACGAGGTAGTGCCATTGCCTCAACTCAACCGTAAGAACAGGGTAATATCTGGAACCGCTATTACACACAGAAATCGTAAATCACTCAACCGTAGATGCAGGGAAGAGACACCCTACATTACGAGGAGAACATGGAACATTCGCTCAACTGTAACAACAGTGTACGTACGTTCTGTTGCTGGTATTACGAGGCAGACAAAGTACCACAAACTGAACTGTACAACAAAGAAAGAATGTCCTGCAACTGGAATCAATGAGAAGAGGGGCCTCTACTGCACACAACTATAGGAACAGGGCAGTGTCATCCCAAATCAACTATTACAAGTAGGATCCCGTGTAGGCTGGACCTGTTCCAACTGACAGCTGTCCACCTGGGAAAAAACATCCAGGGGAAATGGAAGGAGGGAAACCAGCTTTGCTCTCTTCTCACTGAGTGTATAATCATGAGTATGTATGGTAAATTAAATTTCTAAACTAAATCAGGAAGAAGTGTCCATGGTCCACCACCCCAGATACTGGGAACTGAGAAGTAGTAAGGATTTCCATGTTCCACTGGAAGAAAAAAAGGGGGAAGCAAGTGCAGTAGGGAGTCTGAAGGAATGTCACATCGGAGAAAGTGCAACGGGTGTCTGTGATTCTCTATTTTGAAAATATGGGCAGAAATCCCCTTCTGCTTTATTCATGAAGTCCATGAGTGATGGTCCACCATTGAGTGAAACTTACTGATACCTAGAAACATATATATATATATATATATACCACTAGGTATGACATAAGTGGTCTTGTGGAACACCCCATCTCTACAGTGAGCATTATAGTGCAATCAATAAATAGTGCGGTTTGAGACGAAGCATACCCAACCAAGCAACACCCACCACAGAGTGGGATCCTGTTATCAGTGGTAAAAATGAGGGTTGTTGAAAATGAAAACATAAATGAAAGGAAGTAATAAGACTTACTCCAGTCAAAGGCAAATGGACATGTGTAGAATTGCCACGGGAGGGAGACAATATCCACCTGAGCAAGATACAGCCAGATTGTGCAAATAAAGAGTGACAAAGGTATTGGGAGTAGTCCACATTCTGGCCTGAACAATCTCCTCCAAAGGCAACCAGATGTGAAGTGTACAAGTCAGAAAGCTTACCACTGATCCACTGGGAGAACTGGATGCAATGGGAAGAAAGGAGGAGAACAAACCTCCATCAAAGTGGACAACATGGTGGCATGGAAACTGAAGCAGGAAAAAGAAAACTAACGAAAACACCCATGTCCAGAAAATACAGTAAAACCTGAATATGCATTGACTGACAACCTGATTAACTAGTTGTAAAAATATGTGGAAGGTGAAAACTCCTGAAGTGATGTAGAGTCAGACAAAAATAAGAAGGTGCTGGTAAAAGTATCCAAATTGTCTTATCCTTGATTGTATTCTTCCTCAGAAACACTGTCAAGTTCAAAAGAAGAAGAAATCACTAGCCGAACATAGTACGTAGCTCTCTGCGAATTAAGGCCTGCTTTGTACATGGTGTTTCTGATCTAGTCTTACCTTTTCTCACACAAAGCTATCTTGATCTATTTTCTGCTTTCTAAGCATTGTTAAAACAATTTTGCGTTCAGTGCACCAGTCTATATACCTTATCAATTTTGCACCATTTTTGAACATGTGACTACTCTCCAGTTTCTTTGACTCTAACCTGTGAGTAATGTCTGATCTCTCTCTCTACAAATTGGCTGCTTGGTAAATGGTGTTTTAATTTATTTGGCTTTGTCTGTGAGTAAAATCTGATCCCTCTCAAATTGGCTGCTTTGTAAATGGTGTTTTAATTTCTTTGACTTTAACCTGTAAGTAATGTCAGATCTCTCTGCAAACTGTCTGCTTCGTTAATGGTGTTTTAATTTCATTGGCTTTACCTGTGAGTAGTCTGATCTCTCTACATATTGTCTGCTTTGTACATGGTGTTTTAATTTCTTTGACTACCTGTGAGTAAAGTCTGATCTCTCTCAAATTGGCTGCTTTGTAAATGGTGTTTTAGTTTCCTTGGCTCTAACCTGTGAGTAATGTTAGATTTCTCTACAAATTATCTGCTTTGTACATGATGTTTCAGTTTCATTGGCTCTACCTGTGAGTAAAACAGTAATTTAAAGAAGACAACAACCTACTACAAATCATGATCTGGTTTTAAATTGGTCTAAATCTGAGTTTCTTAAATAAAATAGCAATATTTTATAACATATGTTATAAAATAAAACAAAGTATAACAATTCTTTTTACACCATTACATTGTAATACTTCAGAGAATCAAGATTTTCCTCACTGGTGCAACACAAGATAAAGGTAAGTAATCAACTGAAAGACATGGAAACAGAACTATGATGATGAGTAACAAGACAACTTGTTTTTACACCATTACATTGTAATACTTCAGGGAATCAAGATTTTCCTCACTGGTGCAACACAAGATAAAAGTAAGTAATCAACTGAAAGACATGGAAACAGAACTATGATGATGAGTAACAAGACTACAATAACGTTTGGAGAAACTATGCTCACTAAAACAAGCAACTAGCTTGCATTAACTGTTAAGACACAGTTTTCCTTCTACATCTTTCAGCCGATATAATAGGATTTTTATAATTTAGTAATTCAATGTGTTGTTGTAACTCCAGCCACTTTAGTAATGAAAAGTTTAATATCACATTATTATTTGAACTTTATCAAAACGTTTCCACGTAGGATCATTGTGACAAAGGTAGTGTTTCTAGGTCTCACCATGAAAAAGTTTGGGAACCACTGGTCTAGGCCACTAATTTACCATGATTTCAAAGATGGACTGAAATCCAGTGTTTGTTTCTTATGAAAGTGGCTGAGAATGGCTTAGTGCTCCGTGTGCCAAGCTGCAGATTGAAAGTTTAAGGTTCAAGCCACGATATGCTACTGAACATGCTCCGCACTTTCAGTTGTGGGGCCTCTATTACTATGATAGCCAAATATTATGTTAAAAGTAGACACAGGGGCAACGGGTGTTGCTGACTTATTGTCCTCCTTCATTTCAGCTGTTGTAAACAGAAAATGCTTTTATCTGATTGTTTAATCCATAAGATACATAAAGCATCATTCAGGTTGAAAATACCAAAACTAACTACAGATTCAAGTTTCTAGAAATTATCATACTTACCAATAACTTACGAAGAGCTTTAATTGTTTTGTCTTTCTGTTCTACTTCTGTTTGAAGAGCCCACAACTTCTGAAGATCTAAATCTATTTCTGTATTTTTCTTCCTTGTTGCTTCTCTTGTCTTTGAACCGAAAAATAATTAGAGAAAACCAGCAACAAAATACACTTTCAGAGTGATGCACCATAGCCAAATATTTCACTATGAGAATAACAGAACTGTCTTGGCTTTTGTGCAATGAAAATAATTACCTTTTTTTTTAAACAAGAAAGGAAAAATAATAAGATGTGTGACCTAAAATCAATATTAATTTTTTTTTATTTAAAGTTACAGCTTTTACAGTAAAGAAGAAGATATTTTTTTAAACAGATGTGATGTTTCAATCACTGGTGCAATCATTCTTAAGTTCACAAGTTTTAACGGTATCACAAAACTATTTTCTGTTATTAAAACCTGTATACTTGAGAATGATCATACAAGTGATTGAAACATCATACCTTACTGCAAAAGCTGTAATTAAAATGTCAGGGTTTTTGTATATGAGTGGGCTAGGATTCTCTTACAGTAGGTGTCTGTGACTTGCTGGCAATAAATTTCAACAATAAACGGACAGCACACAATCCACTTGTTTTAGAATAATATATTCAAAACAAGTCAAATGTATGTACAAAAATTCTTTACACTATAGAATATCACAGTTCTATCTAAAACTCTAAATAATTTTCTTGTCAAAATTCCACACAGGCTAATTCAATTACTTTAGAATCCAATTGACAAGATTAATTATTTTTCTTTATTCTATTTCTTACTATACAATCTGTGATAAATTCACTTATGTTACCCCGTGGGTTACCACAGTTATATCTCAAACTTTAAATAATTGTCTCCTTTTGTCAAAGTCCACACAGACGGGTTCAATTATTTTAGAACACCCATTGACAGGACAAATTATTCTCCTTATCTCTGTTAACCTGTGAAACTCACTTTAAAATATCACCTATTATGGTTAATCACTCACACACTGGCTAATTTCACGTTTTCTAATTTTTTATCTGAGTGAACTTTACTTCACTTTCACTAACTAAATGTTTTCCTGACTAAACTTCTAATTTCTTTATAAATTTCCCATCACAGCTAAACTGCCAATCATTCAGTCTAGATATGTTTGATTATCTCTTACTTGACATGACTTTTCTTGCACTTGCTAGTCACCTATATATATATATCTCCTTGTTCACTGAGGACTCAAACTTTCTATAAACTACATGACACTATAATAGAACAATACTCACTTAAGGTAATGAGAAAAACATAGAAGATTTGAGTTACATGATGTCAACAATATTACTAAAGCCCAGTACAACAATCTAATTGCATATACCCTACAACTCTTACAATTACGTATTAAAATTTGTCCCAACTAATGCCTTTAAAACAATCAACTCTCAACATTCCCATCATGAAAACTAAACAATCACCCAAATATTAAGTCATAAAATAAACTAGCAACAACTCTGACACCAAACAGTCTTGTATATCCAACATTAATAAAAAACAAATACTTATAATCAGTAAGTAAACTCAAACAAAACTATCTAATATCAGAGTTAGCATTCAAGCAGTATCTCGTTGAAATGCACAAAAAACTAAATTTTTTGAAACCAGTGTTAGGTCAATGGGGTCAACAGAAACAAAATGGCAGACATTTGTGTCCAAAGATGCAGCTGTTGTGCACAAAATATATTTTTATATATGTAAGTAAGTGATCATAAGAAGTCACTTTAGAACATTTCACTACTATAAGAGAATTTTATCTAGATTAGGTTACTAGTTGGATATTTTTAATTCTCACAGTACTATTTCTAAACTAAATATAATATGGAACCTATTACTGAAAAAAAGGTTAAAAATACCAAAATTCTTTATTATATACTAAAAATGTCAAAACAGAAGATTTAAGTGTTGGAACTAGTTTGCAGCATTTCAATACATGTTGAGGAGGAGTTAAAATATGGAGTTCAAAAATTAAGAAACCTATATGTGTTTTATGAGGCAAAAATTGAAGAGAGTCTGAGGTACAAAAGTAAAGGTCACTAAAGCTATGTGGGCAAAATAAGGCAAAACTGTATACTACTGTAACTATAAGAGTGAATTTGGACTATTTAAGAAGTATTTTCATGTATATGGCTTTGTTTTATTTTCATTACATGGTCTATAAATCATGAAATGAATGAACCTTTGGGGTCGTAAGAGTCACTATGAAGGACCATGTTGTTATAGAGCTGGTTTTGGTCTTTGTTGTGATTATCTTTTTTTCATTTACTTTAATGTATTTATATTCATTTTTATTTTCTCCATAAGCAATTTCCTTTTGAATAATATAATTTTCTATTGCTGATTTAGGTTTTTTAGCCAAAGGCAAATTTGGTATAGCATTTGATGAAATCCAAGTTGTAACATGTACAAAAGTATCAACAAATCTTCCATCATTCAGACACTGGCAATGACCCTCAAAGGTATTCCCAGATAAAACTAGTTTCATTTTAAGCATCATAGAACATGCAAAAAGAATGAACCAAAGACATGTACACAAAAACACTTCTTATCAGATATTCACAATACTATATCTTTTTACCTTATTATGCTCACATAGGTTGCTTGACCTTTAATCCTCTATTTCAACCCCTCCTCACCTTGTATTGATTAGATATTTTGATATGTCATGAAACACAGTATGCAGGTGTTTTCTGTTAAAAACTATTTCAAACACTCAAAATTGGATTTGGCAATATGGTAAATTATGAGGAAAGTCTGGCAGTTTTTCAAATTTGATTTTTTTCAGTAGTAGATTCTTTTTTTTCTCCAAAAATTATACTGTAAAACGTCAAAATACTCAAATAGAATTGTAATTTACATGAAGTTCTGTTATATTTAGTGGTCAAATATACTAAAATGTATTTTTATAAGTTAATATTTTCCTACACTGAAAATATGTTTCTGATAAGTACTTATCTCCGTTCACAAAATAGCTTTTCTCATTCAGTGCTGCTCTCTATATGCAAAATTCATTTCACTCACCACTAGCCTTGAAACTCCCACCTACCCCATGTTCAGTGTGTTTCTACTGCACCTTCGGATGCAAATAAGCATGTGGCAACCCTCCACCAATAGGAGTGTTACACACACTCCTGATGCAGGTTACTCCCTCTATATTATTCAGCCTAACCTTCACTTCGAGATGTGGTACAAAAGAAGCACCCTTCTGGTAAGGAAGGAAGAGAAGAGGTAAGTACCTATCAGAAATATATTTTCAGTGTAGAAAAATATCAACTTATGATATGATACCTAGATTCCAACAATCAAAATGTGAAGAGACCGGTGCAAAAGTGGTGGTTCACTCAAATCCAAAACCAAACAGACTTCTGGTTCCTGGCCCATCTCCATGTGCTACCAGAACTTATGAGTCATGACCCACAGGTGCTGTGCCAGGGGTACCCCAGCCAACTAGAGTACCTGTCAGCCAGTCCAGCTCCTTGCAATACCAAACTCCCAAGCCTTAGCTTGATGGAAGAGGTATGCTGGGGGTACCTTGACCAACTAGTACATCGTGTCTCTGGTAAGGCAAGGACACCCTATCAACATATGCATGAGGATTTATGAAGGCTGGTCCAGCTCTAATCCAAAACTTACCATCCTGGAACCAACATCCGGGCAATGGTAGGATGAGAAGTCCCAACCATAGGGGTGAACTGTATTTGGTGGATCTACTCCAGTTTATGAGTCAATTGGAGGATCTACACCATGTATACTAGCAGAATGGGATTGAGCACATTCAGGTGGAACCTTCCATGGTCCACCACTCCAGCAGTTAGGAACTGGTAAGTGTTAAGGATTCCCATAGCCCACTTGCAGAAGGGGGAGGGAGGGAAACATGGTGGGAAGTCCGGAGGAGTGTTACACTGGAGACTGTAGAATGGATGATCATGGTAACCCTATTTTGAAAAGCAGACCATTCCTGACTTATTTGATTGAAGAAATGGCACAGATGGGCAGTAATCTCCTTTTACTTTACTTATGATAGTCCAGGAGTCAGTGAGGTGCGGGAGGTGCATAGTTATGACGAAATATACCGTGAAGTGAACCTACTAGAGATCTTGTGAACACCCATCTTGACAGTGTGCATTCGAGGCCTGGAGAGAGGTATATGTATATATATAAGTTGGTGGGTCAAGCCCCATTAGTTTGATCTGGTGGATGCCCCAGCCAACTGTTTGACTGGTCCAACTTCCTGCTACACCAGCCTCTGGGTCTCAAACCATTGAAGGTGTTTTGCTGAGGGTACCCCAATACGTGATATATATCTACTCTTTGTGTGATAGGCCATACAATGCAAATTTTGCAGTTGATAGCCAATAAATATACCTAGACAGGAACCACTCACCACCTGACCCTGTAGGATAGAGAAAAAAGTAAGCTTACCGATACACAGTTGAACCATCACGTGGAAAACAGCAACAGGCGGAATATGATATCCAGATGATGAAGAAATGGTCACATGGTGTAGGTAGTGGGATATTAGCATGTTAGATGTAGTCCACATGCCAGACAGGAGCATCTCCTCCAAAAGACGATACAGATGAGCTGCAAGGGAATCTGGTGAGATGACACCTGGAGGACGTGTTGAGAATTGGGAAATGGGTATGTATATGCCAGATGAATAAGTTGATGAATCAAACCTATTAGGGTAGAAGGTGAAATGTCTCATTTAGAGAATGGGTTCCAGGGAATGAATAATCTGTAAAAAGAACCAAGGTAGGAAGCCATTTGGGCAATACAAAAATGGAGAGCATGAATGAGACATAGAAGTTTAACCAGATCTGCATAAGAGCATAAATTGGAAATGGAAGAGGGGGAAACTGCATAAAATAAGAATTGCCCTCATGAGCCACAATTTTCTGCGGAAGAAAGCTAGGATCTGGAAAAAGGAGAAGATAAGTGAGGTGGTAAAAACTACATGAAATGTCAACGGCAAAGATGTCCAACCTCCAATGATCACAAACCAAAAGGAGTAGGAAATAGGTTTTATAGGATAAATGGTAGAGGGAACAGGTGGCCAAGGGTACAAAGGGAAGATGGATAAGGGTGTAGATAACAACATTAATATCCCAATCAGGCAATATTCTAGGGTGAGGCGGATGACTTATCCAGAAGGAAAGTAAAAAGGGAAAAGTGGAAGAGGAAAACACTTTGCAATATCTGGTAAAATATAAGATGTTGGATAAGGTTGCTGAATATCCTGCTGTTTCAGATATAGAGGAGTTATGATCAAATAGCCAGGTAAAATTCTGCAACATTAGGTATGGTTCATTGAGAAGGAAGGAATCCATGATGTAGTGACCAGCAGCAAAAGCCCAACACTTTCTTTGATAAATCATGAGTGAGGAAGGGTGAACTGAATGGGACAAAATAGCACCACATGTGTTTGAATAGTCTGGATCTCTGTGCAAAGGACCAGCCAAAAGCCACATGTGAAGACAGAAGGTGGGAAGTACAGGAAGAAAACTGGTGACTGAGGTTGATGGAGGAGGAATAGAAAAAGAGAGAGATTAATGGGGGTATTGTTTGGAGAAGGGTGAGAACCAGGAATGAGGGCTGTGCTGGCCAGAGAAGTGCTATTAGAAGTACTCCACATGGAGTGGACTAGATGATGGATGAGATGTAAGAGATGAATATGTTGGGTAGGCACATAGGTACAGGTTGGTCCTGTGCTGAATGAGAGCATCAACAGCTAAAGCCAGGGAATGAGGTACTAGGGACTAGAACAGGGGTAATTTGATGGTGTGATGTGTGGCAAAAGCATCCAAATGAAGAGTACCCCATTGTTTGCAGAGCCACTGAAAAACCTGAGGGTCTAGGGACCATTCTGTCAGGAAGATCTGGTTGGGACAAAAAATTACCCCCAACCAAACTGAATGCACCTGGAACATGGCATGCAATGAGGCATGTGTGAAAAGCATGGGCCCAAAAGAGTATTTCCAATGTTCAGAAACAGAGCAAATGTAATCGGGTGCCACCCTGTTGATTGATGTATGAGACAACTATCGAATTGTTGGAATGAATCCTGACCAATTTGTCTCGTCCAGAGGGAAGGAAATGATCCAAAGCCTGATGGACAGCCAGTAGTTCCAAGGTGTTGATATGCATGGTCATCTTGATAGGAAACCAATGACCTGAAACCTCCTGATGCTCCAAACATTAGTGAACAGGTGCACTTCAATACGAGGAGGTGGAAGAAGAATATCTACCATGATATCGTCTCTGTCTAGCAATCATGTGAAAAAACTAGGTGAGAGATGGATAATGGAGTCCAAGAGAACCCTGGCAAGGTTCCATTGGTTGTGCAGCATTCATTGAAGGTTGCACATGTGAGAACGACCTAAGAGCTTGCATGGAAGCCTACATCCCCAAAAGAGAAAGAACCTCACATGCAGTGAGTGTAGGAAAGGTAAGGGCCTTGGTGACTCAAAGTTCTATGGACCATAAACAAGGAGAAGCAGGCTGGGCTTGACTTAGATAGTAGTTATAAAAGACACCCAAGTGGACAAGGTATTGGGTAGGTGAAAGGAAGAACTTCTCCACCTTCTCTCAGAAGCAACTGTATGTATTCATATGCAACCAATTTGAATAAAGCCAGTTAGAGCCAGTCATCCATATAATGATGCAAATGTAAGCCCTGGGCAAAGGCCCTGACAACTTGACAAAACACATAATGTGCCATGGTCAGCCCAAAGTGCACGAAACTGGTAAGCCTGATCCTTGTAGACAAATGAAAGGTATCATCTGGAAATAGGGCAATAGGGATGTCAAGGTATGTATTCAAGATGTCTACCTTGGTCATCTCCAGACCTGGAGAGAAAGTCCACCATCGAGTGAGAAAAAAAACTCAATGATGAAATGAAGAAGGTCTATGAAACTGCTGAGCTGAGACAAATCTACCAGAGGGTGCCAGTCCCTGGTCTTTAGGGGATCCACAAATAGTCTGGAAAGGTTTGAACGACTGGTTTGATAACACCTTTGAGAAGAGTCAAGACTGCCTCAAAGAGGCACTGGCAAGTTGTGGGGGGAGGAAACAGGACCTGTTGATAACAGATGGGGGAAGGGGAAAGGAAGTGAATGAAAAGGCCCTTGGACAGCATCTGAAAAACACAAAGATCGAAAGTGAACTCACATCAAATGGAAATGACAATAAATCCAGCCAGGTGTGCACCTGCCCTGCCAGATTCCACTGGGTAGTCACTGGTACCATTGGCGGTGTGTGCTTCTAAGGTGAGATATATGATGATTCACTGGCAAAACCCTGGAAAGAGGAACAGGTAAAGGTTGAGAAGGTGTGGGATGGGAAATGGTAGTGGGAACAGAGGCAGATGAAGGCTGAGACAATCTGGAAACCAAAGAAGAAATGGTAGAATGTTGTCATTGCAGACACCACCTGCAACTCCAAGAACTCAGGGGTGTTTTGAAATGAAATCTGCGTGAAAATGGTGCTATTATGATGTTGTGCAGATAAATAGTTGGTAGGCACACCTGAGACAAAAGTGTATCCCTACCCAGCAGCAGAGGAGCCATGTTTGGAAGGAAAGGACTGAAGAGAATAAATGTGCCAACATGGAAGATATGAGGGTGTGGGTCTCCTCTGAAAACCCCAAAGGGGATCAGTGGATAGCCTCGACTAGGAGGTGCATGGAAGACAGGTACCTTAGGATAGAGGTTAGTGTCAGCCGGAGAATGGAAAATTGGGCCTGTGAGAATCTAACTGGAGAATCAGGATTGGCCGCCCACAATTACATCAAAGACTGCAAGTATTGTGAGTCTATAATAGGAAAGTTCACTTGGTGATCCGAAGATCTAGGAGAAAACAAACTACTACTTCGAGAAACAAAGCAAAAACAATCAAGTGCAAAGTTAAAAACATGAGCAAAATTTTGTAACAACCGAAAATGACTGTGCCTAAACAAGAAGTCAAGGTTAGGCTGAATAGAACAGAGGGAATAACCTGTATCAAGAGAGTGTGTCACACTTCTACTGGTAGAGGGTGGCTGCATGCTTATTTGCATGTGACTCCACCTACCTTATATTATATAAACATCACCGTTATAAAAGGCCAAATTGTATTTATCTAGTATGCGTAATGAAACTGTGCTGATAAGCCTTAAACAGGCAAAACTATAGTCCACAGCAGATAAATCCAAGAATGCATTATGCCTCTACATCACAGATTATACTTTCAATTTTACATTTAGTGAAAACAAATGTGTAATATGATAAGAAATTTTGTCTTCTGTGTAAATTTATTTTTATACTTGTAATGTATATTGCCTTAGCTGATAAAACATATTTTTTTTTAGCAACAAATGTGCAGAAATGATATAATTTTCAAAATGCCTTATTTTTAATTGGTACTATATGGGCTTCTAGTAATTAAACTACATAATAGCATTTCAGACATATCTTTTGTAATACATTGCTGATAAAGAGGCAGTCATTTAAAATCTATTAAGACTTATGGTGTTTAATGCTTTAGCTATAAAGTATAATCCTTCTCAGAAAAACATGAACTAGGGAATACTGCATTAAGACTAACGTTACTTAAAATGCAATATATCCTTTTTTCCTAGGAAACTTGTAACGAGTTAATTCTCAGTGATGTCTTTTAAATAATATCACTTTTATTGTGATGTGTCATCACATTACACTGTTGGTATTTTTAATATTGTATTACAATGTGTACAGAAAGAAATCCAAAGAAAAACAGAAATATCTGAGCAGAGGTAAATCAGATTCTACATCATTGGTCTCTTACCTCTGATGACTGAATTTCACACTTTCTCTGCTGATCTTCCCTTTCAACATCTTCAAGATAAGCAACAATGCTTCTACAATACAGAATTAAACTCGTAAGGATTCTTATCTCATTGTACAGTGTACATACGTTTACAAATGTTTAATGAAGACAAATTATAATGCTACAAAAACCATGTTATAATGTATGTTATCATTACAAAGGATACAACATTCCTAATATCCAAGTTGCATGTTTTTAATGTTTTATGTATGTCTGTGTGTGTGTGAAATTACTCTATCATTGCCATTAATACCTAAACATCTAAGAGTAAATTTATGACCAAATCTGTGCTATTTTAATGAGCAAGGTGTGATGTTTAGAAATATGCTTAAAATTTAACTTTAGGTAATTCTGTGGCAGCATGCTTGATCTACTGGTTCTGTTGCAGCATGCTTGGTCTCCTGGTTCTGTGGCAGCATGACTAGTCTACTGGGTCTGTGACAGCATGATTAGTCTACTGGTTCTGTGGTAGCATGACTGTTCTACTGATTCTGTGGTAGCATGACTGTTCTACTGATTCTGTGGCACCATGACTAGTCTACTGATTCTGTGGTAGGATGACTGTTCTACTGATTCTATGGCAACATGCTTGGTGTACTGGTTCTGTGGCAGCATGCTTGGTCTACTGATTCTGTGGCACCATGACTAGTCTACTGATTCTGTGGTAGCATGACTGTTCTACTGGTTCTGTGGTAGCATGACTGTTCTACTGATTCTGTGGCACCATGACTAGTCTACTGATTCTGTGGTAGCATGACTGTTCTACTGGTTCTGTGGTAGCATGACTGTTCTACTGATTCTGTGGCACCATGACTGTTCTACTGATTCTGTGGTAGCATGACTGTTCTACTGGTTCTAGCATGACTGTTCTACTGATTCTGTGGCAGCATGACTGTTCTACTGATTCTATGGCAACATGCTTGGTGTACTGGTTCTGTGGCAGCATGCTTGGTCTACTGATTCTTTGGCAGCATACTTGTTCTACTGGTTCTGTTGCAGCATGACTGTTCTACTGATTCTGTGGTAGCATGACTGTTCTACTGATTCTGTGGTAGCATGACTGTTCTACTGATTCTATGGCAACATGCTTGGTGTACTGGTTCTGTGGCAGCATGCTTGGTCTACTGATTCTGTGGCAGCATGCTTGGTCTACTGATTATGGAGCAACATGTTTGACCTAATATCAAGTGGGATCAAAAGTTTAACAAAAAAGTCTTTAACGAAAGCAGCTATTTGTAGTTGCAATAAAGTTTAACAATTGAGCAATATTTTTAGGAAAATTACTATAACATAGATAACCTTAGTTAACTTGTGTACATATAACATTCTAGATGACAGCATGGTCCCAAAAAGTGTTGTTTCAAAAGTAAACAAAATATTTTTATAAAAGTAATAGTTTTATTTATTGTTTTTGAAGTTCACATGTCATGTTGTATTGTAGCCTACAGGGGGCATAATTCATCTCATGATTCATGGCACATGTACACTTTACTGACGTCCTGACAGTACAAATTGCAATGTTAAGCATCCCTATTGTGGTGTCATTTTATTGTTTTTTCCTCAATTCCACAGACTCCTGCCACTTCCTTAATTTCTTTATTCATTCTCTTCTCTTTCAGTAACGGTTCTAACAGCCATCTCAGCCTTTTCGTTTCAGTTCTTATTAACAAGACTTCCTCTTTTTTTCCTTAGTTCCCAGCTCTCTTATTTAACCAGGTTTTAGTAATAACTAAACAGTAACATTAACCCAAAAAAAAGTATTGTTTCTTTTACAATTTATTAATTCTACACAGCTTTTGAAGATAAATGTAAACAATTTCCTAACAATAGGAATCTATAATAAGCTCACTACAACAAACTCCTATTTATTACACAAAAACACTACCACTATTCTGTTTTATTCAAATCACACAATAATACATGTAAGCGTTAAAATTTTATAAATTGATAAGAGCTTACCTGTATTTTTCACAGCTGGGCTGTACTACTTGGTCTACAGAATTTTCTACTCTAAGCCTGCACTCTGTTAAAATAAGATGATCCTACTTAAAAAATGTTGTCTATAATTAAATATTTCTGTTTGCATGGATTAAAGAAATAATAATTCTAGAACTAAATACTTTACGATTCCACATTAATCTGATTAATTTATTTTAACAAATTATGTTTAAGTATTTTTTACTTGATTTTAATTACTTCTAGGTACAAGTATCTCATATCCACATGTAACAGCAAGGCTGTTCAATGAAGTTTTTCTTTAATAATAAGCATTCCAGTTTTTTTGTTAAAGAAACAAATGTCATGGTAGATTGTTCAAAATAGATTATAAAACTTTAATTTTATTAAAAATTGACTGAAGAAATGGTAAAAAATAATAAAGATATTTTATAATTTATTTAATCCAATAAAAATAGTTTATTTTACTGTCATGTGGTGACAGTTTTAAATAACATACAAAGAGATAGAGCATAAATAAAACTTGACATAAATCTAGCTAACAGTATTAGATGTTCTCTAAAACACTTAATAAAACAAATACATCAATCAAACAATGACCATCATTTAATATGATAAATTAATGAAAATAATTTATTATGAAAATTCATTGAAGTAGTAATTAGTCATTAATTTTCATCCCAATTTATATATATTATTAGTTTTTGAAGACAGAGAAAAATGAGAAAAATCTAAAAAGTATATTATAAATGAAATTCATTGTATTATATCAAAGTTATCATACACAACTTGTTTGTTTGTATTTTAAGTAGTAATGGATTAGCTTCTGTAGTGAATATATATTTCAAATATTTAACTAATAAAACTATAAAAATAATGACTGGTACCTCTCTCTTCTTGCTCCAGTAAATCTAGAGTCTTCAAAACATCTTCGTATGTTGAACCAGAATTGATGTTCTTATCCCTTTGATGCAGGTCCTAAGATTAAACAGTTAATTATAAAATGGTTTAAACTTCCAAATCTCATCAATATTTGTTAAACCACCGAGAACCATAATGTAAGTAAAATATAAAATACTACTAAAATTTAAGTTGAAAATATCTTTCTGCATATTTTATATAATCCTTGCTAATTTTGAGGTTATGATACAAATATTGAAAAATCAGTTGAGATTGAATATAGAATTTGTTTAATTCAATATGTTGAAAATTTATGGATGTCTAACTGTTTGATCAAACTAGTTTTCTAGCAAAAACTGGTTTATGCTAACGTGATACATAAAAAGAAGGACTTTGTACACCCAATAGATAATATGTAAACCAAAATACACAACAAACATAAAGTCTGTTATGAAATAAAAATAATTCATTAAAACTCCTTAAAAACTGAAGGTCCTTTTGGCTAAATTTTCAAAGAATAACACAGGCTACGTTCACAAAAATAAAACAAGACAGGTAATTTTCAAGCCTTTAATGTACATAAGATTGATAGTAAGAACAACAGTTGAACAAGTATATGCATATTTATGTTTGTCTTACCATACTTTTGGTGGTGATGTTTTTTTCATCGTCAACTGAAGAAAGTACAAACTTGTGTTCCATTTTTTCTATTTTCTCAAACTTTGGTAGCTCTGTTGGAGTTAAAAAAACATATTCAAAATCTTGCTTCAGGCCTCCTCTTCTCCCACTTCTACATAAATCTGATTGATTACTTAGAGGACGTTTTTCATCTATGGTTGAGTGCAGTTGATAATTCTTAGATTTAGCATACATTTTTTCTCTACTTTGTATTTTAGATAAGCCTTCTTCCTGGCACTGTGAAGCTTCTGTCCATGTTATCTTTGAACCAGTTTCTTCCAACTTAATTTGACCAGCATAACCAGAGGAGCCATCACATAGAAGACTAGAAATATCAGAAGTTAAAGTATCCCCACTACACCCAGAAGGATGTTTAGATTTTCCAGTAATAAGACTGCTTTCTGTACATGTATTAACATCGGAGTTGTCTTCAGTATCATGGTTTAAATTAACAATACTCCCAGTGATTTCAGATTTATTCTGATGACCACTGTCCTCTTTCTCCATTGAATCTGAAAACACAGTATTTTGATGAATTGTACCTGTCTCCCTTAAGTATGATGGAAAATCAGCTTTGTTTTCACCAGGCAATACTTGTGTGATTCTAACTCGATCACCTGCTTGATGAGTTCCAAAGTTCACATTTTGGTCATCTAATCTAGAACAATCGGTCAAGACAATTTTCTGCTGCTCTTCTGAAAAAGATTCTTGATCTTCACTGATAAAGGAACTTAATTGGATATTATAATCTTTGTTTGAAATACTTTCTACACTACCAGTTTTTCCTTCCTGTAAATGTTTTTCTAACATGGTAATTTCACCAATTTTGTCCGTTGGCAACATGTCATTGAGAGAATAATGCACATGTCTTGACGCACAGGTTCCTGTTGTGCTTATAGATCTCTGATCTTCCACTATATACACTGGAACGTTAACTTGATCTTCTTCTTCTCTTGAGCTACCTTCTGACACAAGCTGTTTATCCTCTACAATTCCTGCATCTCTTATAACATCTTGTATCTCTGTTTTAACAGTCATGACATCATCTTCTTTTGTTTTACTTACATATGTACTAATTTCTTTGTGTTTCAAATGTTTCAAATTGTTATATTTCGGGGTGTTGTACTTTGGTTCTTTCAAGTGCTCACGAGTAAGCTGAAATATAAAAATAGATATTTAAATCAGCTTTACCAATAAGGAGTGATTCGATTATGCTGATAATCATAAATTAGCTCCAAACTCCATGTAATGCTTATATTGATGTTTAACTTTAAACATTTTATATTCTCTACTTAGGTATGCTCCAGTCAGTATTTTCCATGTTTTTGTTTTTTTCGAAAAGTCTATTCCATTTTCAGATTATTATTAAGATCAAATTTCTTTATGTTTATTGAAACTGTATCTTCATTCCTTCTTGAGTTTCTGACAAAAAAAAAGCAAATGGATATTTTAATTACAGATGAAATATATCAGTAGGATATTATTTTAGCAAGCACATGAAAGGTAAAGTGAGTTAAGCCTTATTCATACCTGCTAAAACAGTATTGCATCACTCTGATTCATCTAGAAGTTTGCCCCCCCCCCCCAGCAGCATCGTAATATGTCTGTGGACTTACAATGCTAGAAACCAGGTTTCGATACCCATGATGGGCAGAACACAGATAGCCCATTGTGTAGCTTTGTACTTAACTACAAACAAACAATCTAGAAGTTTAAAATTAAAAGTGAAAAAAAAATAACACGAAATGTTTTACAGCACCAATGTAATGGATAAAGAATTACATATGTGTTATTGATGAAATATCTGTAAATGAATTGCTCTCTTCACATCTACATAATTTAAAAAGAGTTCATGTTTGTAGAAAAATCAACAAATGAGTATGTACTGCAACAATGAGATATATTCTATTAAAAATCCTATATTATTAAACTATTATAAGACATATAGATCTTCCACATGTACTTAATTAACAAACTTCAAAACGTGTTGTTTTGAACCTGTGTATTTAGAGCTAGGTGATTAGTGGTATTTGTCAGTTGAATAATGTCATTACTTAGAGTTAAGACTTTTGAAAAGGAAGTCCTCCTCCCAAATCACCAAAGCTGAAGTAACAATACAAACAAAAAAATGGCAATATTTTGATTACTTGAATAATTGGAATAGATGAAAATAGTAATAACCAGAAACCTAATTTTGATTAGCTGATTATTTTCCTGACAATTAATATAATTATAATTTTGATTAATTGATTAAATCACTCAATTATATCTTGATAGGAGGATCATTTATATCAATTTTATTGCTAGCGATGAGGAGAATAAAACCTTCAGATGGAAAAATCATTAAAACTGAATATGAAAGCAAACATCACATATTTTGTGATCAGTATAATACTTCAACTAGTTTAGCTCAGGTTGTATAATTTAGTGTCAAAACCTGTTCGTATAGAAATACATTTTATAAACCTGAAACATTTTTCATTGAGCTGGTGTGATCAAAAGAAGCTTTGCTAATGCTACAAGTATTTCATTGTTGAGCTTGCACTCTTCCTGTTAACAAAACATGTGACCCAGATATTCTGACTGTCCTTTATACATTGCACAGCATGTGTCACTTACCCGTTCTCCCACCTTCCATGTCGTGTATTGCATATGCATTGGGAAATATTACAAGAGTTTTGTTTTCTCACTACAATTTACATTTTATTGAAAGTTATAATAATGATGAAAATCTGGTTGTGGGAAGGTTGGTGGGAAAGTATTTTAGAGGTTTGAAATGGAACTTGATTTAAGGGAGAAGTCTTATAGAAAGACTAGACCAAAGGACACTCAGAAATAAGGCATTTTTCTCAACATCCTTGATGCTTTTCAATTCATACAAAAAAAAAGGTCAGTGAGGACAAGAAAGGTTTGTTGTACCCAAGAAGTAAACAATGGGGACACAAGTAGGAAGAATACTACAACTGGTTCCTGTAGGGGACAGTTCTTGGGGGGGAGCAGCCTAGTCAAATAAAATGGGTGGACACAATCCAGCAGCTGTTCTGGAACACAGAAACATCAAAAACAAGAGAAAAGAAACAATGAAAAGGGAGATGGCTCCAATTCTGGTTGAAGCTGAGAAATATATTGAAAATGGGTGTCTCAGATACCTCAAAAGCCATGCAAGGATGTGCACACAGTGGTGGGAAAGGTACCTGCCAAGGCATCATTAACCACCAGGTGGAATCCTATGTCCACTTCCAGAGAACACCACTCTCTAGGACAAATGTAGAGATTAATGAACATGCAAATCCTGACTGGACAAGTTCCTATAAATGCAGAATCTCCTAATATATTCAAATATTACTAGCAGTATTTTCTTTTTTTTTTAAATATTTTATACTCCCAGACTCTCTGGAAAAGGTTAACAGTGGATGATGGTCAGAACAGAAAAAGTGTAATTTTCCTATACTAAAAATGTATTTCTGATAGGTACTTACTTCCCCTCACATAAATAGATATTCTCTTTCAGTGCTGCCTTCTATATGCAAAATAGTTTTCCCTATGCCACGAGCATTGAGCTCCCACCTACCCTAATATCAACACAGTTCAAATGTGTCTCACATGCAAATCATCATGCAACAACCCTCCATCACCAGGAGTGTGACACACCCTCCTGATACATGTGATTCTCTCTATTTGATTCTACCAAATTATCACTTTGGAAGAAAAAGGAAGCACCAGTTTTTAAAAGGGGGAGGAACGGTGGGAAGAGTGAGAGGAGGTAATCACCTATCGGAAATACATTTTCAGTATAGGAAAATTATCACTTCCAATATGGTACATTACCTCCACTAACATAAATAATTAGAATCCCACATTGAATGGGTGGAGGGACTGGTGCGAGGGAAAGAAAGAAGCATCCGAAGGACACCCTAAAAGAGTAGATCCTCACCGTAGGGGGATCATACGTGGGAGACTGCACCACTTCTATACCAGGTATACTCTTCACCCAGTGTGGAAAGAGGTGTCACTGACATGGGCAGAAATTGGGAGGAGCATGTCCAAAAGGGAGAGAACAATGGTTGGATAGGGAATCAAACCACATGATATTGGAATCTCAATCATATAGAGTACATCAATGTGGGTGAGAATAAAAGGATGTGCCTCTAGGTGTAGAGTGGGTAAGGCATGATGGACCGTACATGGCAAGTTAACTGTATCCAAAATCCAGCAACCGGGAACCAACATCCATGCGGGGGTAGGATGAGGATCATACCATCAGTAAGTTAATTACAATTCAAAATCCAGCCATTTGGTGGGGGATAGGAAAGAAGATCATACTTTCTTCACTTTAAGTTCAGCAAGCTGAAGGGAATCTCATACCCCCTAAATGTATGAAGGGGACACATGATAGCAATGTGATAAATTGTTTTACCGATCTGGGAACCTAACATTCAGACAATCGGTATAATAAAGATGTCTCTGTATTGTAAGCTATCTCACTCAAAATCTATCCAATAGGAACCATCCCCAGTGCAATAATATCCTTGGTATAATAAAATCATAGAGGGATATCGTAAGAGGAAGAACTGTCTTAATCTGCAAGTTCCACCACTGTGACCCACAACACCTATAATACATGTGTAAGGACTTATGTTGATTGGTTCAGCTCTGAATCCAAAACCCAGCCACTGGGAACCAATATCCATGTGGGGGTAGGATGAGGGATCCCAATCGAGGGGGTGAACTGCAATTTTGACTGCTTACTCCAAAGCTACAATAACCCCTGGGATAAACCCATACAGAGATTGAGCAACAGACTGGAGGACATCTCATCATCTATAAAAGCAGAACACCACTGCCCTACTCTCAACTGAATGGATTTATCATTACTTGTATCATATATCATTATCACATTCAGGAGGATGCCTCCATGGTCCACCACTCCAGTGGCTTGGAATTGGAAAGTGGTAAGGACTCCCATACTCCACTGGAAGAAACAGGAGGGAGAAAAAGGGGTGGAGAGTCTGGAGGAACGTCAACATTGGAGACAATGCAACAAGAGACCATGAAAACCCTATTTTGAAAAGCAGATCACTCTAAGGAATGGCAGTAATGGACAGCTATCTCCTTCTACTTTAACCATGAAGTCCATTGGTTAGGAAAGTCTGGAAAGGGCATGTGAATGAAGCAAATATATCATGAGGAAAACCTACAAGTGATCTTGGGGAACACCATATCTCAACAGTGTGCATATACTGGCTATGGAAATTATAATTGTTAAGTCTTCATGGCCTTACAGTGTGGATTTGACTAGTTTAAGCATACCTGAAAAGGCCAATCGATTCAAAAGCTGAATCCAAAGGTTAAGGGAGGAAGGAAAAAGTCACAAACAGAAGAGTTGTGCCAGGGAATGAAACAGCAGGAAAAGGAACCAACAGAAAAAAGCCTTGAAGGCAATGAAGCAACCAGAGCAAGTACAGGGTGTAGAAGGCCAACTGGATCTGACTGGGATTAAACTTGGGAAATAGAAGGAAATGAAAACGAAGAACATGGCTCACGAGCCACCAAAGTGGAGGGTTGGAAATATCCATCCAGAACAAAAAGGACTGATCGAGCTCAAGCAGCTGAGAAAACCATATCTGTGTTGACCAGGAAGGAGCAATCAGAAAAACCTGATACAGAGTGGCAAGGATGAACAAAATTGCTCGGGGAAGATGAGGAGTGTGATGAGAAAATAAAGGTATAAACAGGTCCCAATCCTGTCTGAATACATTGACAGCCAAGGCAAATGGATGAAGAACAGGAGACAAAGACATACAGATCTGAAACATGCTCAAAGGGCAAGGCATGAAACTAGTACCAAACCCCATGGTGAACAAACTGTAGACAGTGCCACAAGAGATGAAAAATAGGAATGTGGGCATAAGAATACAAAACATTGTCCATGGCATCCTCAGTCCTGGAGAAAAGGCCCACCACAGTGTGATAAAAGACAATAAAGGAAAAAGGGAAAGAACCAAGAAGTGATTGAGGTGGGTCAGTCTGCTTTTTTTTTTTAATTTCGCGCACTAGCCATCCCTAATTTAGCAGTGTAAGACTAGAGGGAAGGCAGCTAGTCATCACCACCCACCACCAACTCTTGGGCTACTCTTTTACCAATGAATAGTGGG